CCACTTTGAGGATGAGGGCCCGTACGTGTATGTAGATTAAGCCCCCAAAGTTTCATTCCTGTAACTTTTGCAGGTCTCTAGATGAAAAATCGGTACAGAGGTCCTGCGCACCACAGACAACCTCTCGTCAATATGCGTTTCCCGCATTGCACAGCTGCAAAAAATGGTCAGTGGACTTCTAGAAGAAAGCAGACCCTAAGCGTTCATAGCTGCTTCGGTTGGGGAGTTACGGCAAATTCCAGGTAGGCGTATGTAAGACATGAAAGGAACGTGAAAGTTGTTCTCATTTTCACCTGATCAAACGCCGCCGTCGGCCACGCTCAAAAAGCTTCAGCCGTTAGCCGCTTCACTTATGAAATTACAAAACTGTCTATGTCAAAATCATGTGTCCGTACCGCAACGAGCTGAGAAGCTCAATTTATTTTTACAGGCACAACAGTGGGTGACAAGCAACGCTGCAAAATTCAGCTCTCTACAACCTGGTCACCTTTTCCGGGGTTGGCACGATGCCAATTAAAATTTTGAACTTTGCGTGCGTGAAACCTGGGGATGCGCGAGTGCTGAATTTAAAATCTTTGGGCAGGACGCGAGGGAGAAACATTCCCATGAAGTTCCAAATCTCTAGTTTACGTGGTTTCCGAAATCGCTTTCCCACCAAAAAACTTTCCAAGTGGTCGCACAAAGGTGTAAATTAAGTTGACAAAATTTCAGTCTTGTAGATTTCGTAGATCCCGAGATGAAAAGTCGGTACACACACAGACACACACACACAACCTCTCGACAGTATGCGTTTTTGTATTGCATAGATACAAAAAACGCATAAAAGCGTATCAAGAAAAAAACTTACTGTTGGCGAGTGTCGAAGCATCTTTGCTGGCGTCGCTGACGTGGAAACCTTTTCCACAACCTCTCCCGTGCAAGTGACCGTGGGACTGCTCTCAGCGACACCAATGCAATCCGCGCCAATGAATCGCCGCTTACAACTGGCGACCACGGTCTTTCTCCCGCAAATTCTTTGACAGACTGCTTCCCGACTGGTTGCATGAACGCGCTCAGCGTCTGCTAAGAACTGGTACCAACGTACTACATTTCTGCAAACTCAACAAATTAACCCCTGGGTCGATCCATTTGCCTCTTATCCTTCGCCGATTCGGTACGTTTGAATCACGCAGCGCACACATACGCGCAGAGCCTTTCACAGTGTCGGCAGAGTCGAGTAATGGACGAAGCAGCCATCTAACTGGCCAGTAGCAGTGCCCCATCCTATTACTGACGAAATACACCAAGCGTAAAGGAATGCGGTGAGGACCAGCACGATAGCGCGCACCA